GGTGTGGGGGGGGTGGGGAATGGGGGAGTGGGGGATGGGGGGGTGGGGATAGTGCCTGAGGCAAAGGAGTAGCTCTTACCTTGTTCTAACTTCTGGCTGTTTTGGCAAGTAATCTCCCCTCTTGCCTCCCCCAGCCCCATGGTATTAAGAATATAGAGAAACTCCTAGGAAAATTATTTTTCAAGTCCTGTCTGATCAAAGATCCATATAAAAGCTCCCCCTCTTTTTTTGTGTGTCTTCCAAAGGGAAGGAAAAAAAAAACACCAGCCCCCACTGGAGTTCTAAATGAACCAGCGATACATTTGCGGACTATCAGCTAAACCAGGGCAGTCCCCATCCTAGCCTTCTCTGGGACAGAACCAGAAGGAAGCAATTCTGTGCCCACTGAGCGTCCAAGCTGGGGGTATGTTAGTGATTAAGGGGATCTTGGCCTGGGGGAGGCAGAGAGATATGGCTCAGATTCACGAAAGCACCATAAATCTCCCGTTTTATTCAAAATGTGTGTTTTATAGTCATTTCCTGGCCAATGGCTGCCTTGGATAAATATATGACATATTTGGATTTAGCTTTTGGGCTCCGAGCTGGGGCTTGACTGGAGGGCCCGGCATTCTGAGTATTTCCAAGAGCAGCAAGAGAGCGGATAACGGAGCAGTTTGTGATCTGGAGTCGCCCACATCCTACATCAAAAATAGAAACAGAAGTCGGCACCAACTGGACCAAGAGAGATAGAAGTCCACCTGCTCTTCCATCAGGCCTCCATTCCTTAATGTCACCCTCACCCAGCACCCATTCATGAGGGGTACCTCCCAAGGTTTCAGCCGCTGAGCTCCGTGGACTGCATTTGGTTAGATCTGCCAACTTCAACATTTGGCCAAAAGACCTTGGCTTGGCGGATCAAAGGTTGGCAAAAATAGCTTTTTAAAGGGAAGAGTGTGTGTGTGTGTGTGTGTGTGTGTGTGTGTGTGTGTGTGTGTGTGTGTGTACATGCACTGGGAATTGAACCCAATGGCCTTGTGTATGCTGGGCAAATGCTCTACCATTGTGCTACACCCCCAACTCTCTTTTGACTTTATTTTGTGACCAAGTCTTCCTGTGTAGCCCAGGCTAGCCTCAAACTTGTGCTTTTCTTGCCTTAGCCTCCTGAGTAGCTGGACTTACAGGAGTCTACCATCATGCCTGGTTTATGCAGCAGGGCTGGGATTCTAACCCAGGGCTTCATACATGTTAGGCAGGTGGTTGACCAACTGAGTCACATTCCCAGTCCCCATTTCTTCATCCTCGATGTGGACGACTTCCAGCGTGATGAGCTATGGAGCCAAAGCCCACAGTCCTGCCCCCATGAAGAGATCCCAGTCCAGTGTGGCATTGGGTGCCATGGGCTTGGATGCCCACCTCCTGCCTCAGAAATCTGAGGGTGCTCACAAAAATCCATACAACTATACCAGGAGTGTTGGCTCGATCTTTTAACCCTTGCACTGGGGAGGCAAAGCTAGAAGGATCTTGAGCCCAAAGTCAGCTGGAGTCACAAAGAGGTACCCAGTCTACAAAAAACAAATAACAGAAAGACACACACACACACACACACACACACACACACACACACACACACACAATGACAGTAATCTGAAATGTGGGAAGGCCAGTAGTAACGGACACCTGCCAATGCATCTCATCTGTTCTCTGATGACCGTGCATTTCTCCCAAAGGCTCCAACCATCTTTCAGTCTCTCACACTTTCCCAGAGTTTCTCTGGTGTGGGCTTCCATCATTGCCTTGACCTTGGCTTTGGATGCAGAGACTTACTTCAAAGTGTGGCCGAGCATCCTGCTCCAGCACTGTGGGCTCAGCCAAAAGCAATTCCTGCAGAGCTCACAGCCTGGAGGTTAGCTAGGCACTGAGTGTGGAACACACACTCTCAACTTTTAAAAAATGGAGGCTTCTTCATTATTATTATTATTATTATTATTATTATTATTCTCTATAGGATGAACTAATTTATTTAAGCCGTAATCTGTTTTGTGTAAGATTTATTTTTATTTATCTATGTGTGTGTATCTGTATGTGGGTGTGTACATATGGGGACAGTTACCTGTAGGAGTCAGAAGAGGGCGCCAGATACCCCAGAGCTGGTGTTATAGGCACTTGTGAGGTACCTATGGGGACGCTGGGAACTGAACCAGGGTCCTCTGCAAGAGCATCAAACATTTTTAACCACTGAGCTATCTCTCCAGCCTGGTCCCCAAACTCAAGTTCTTGACACTCAGCCCCCATGCTGGGAGGAAGCATAGGCTAGCCCAGTGAGACCTACAGGGTCAAGAGTTGAGACCCCTATAGGGCCAGCACCCTCTACTCATCACTGGAGCCAGGAGCTACCACATTGCTGCAGAACTTCTCTCAACATCATGGCACTAAGTCAAGCTACCCTTGTCCTGCTCTGTCCCCATCCAGATGCTAGAATCTAGGAGCATCGTAAGAGGCAGTTTTATGACTCTGCATTTTAGGAACACTGGCTTCTCAGCCTTCCATCTGGAACACCCTGTGTAGGTGAGAGAAATTCATCTGTCCCCGAGCCTAATGCCTAAACAAGGAGAGTTAGAGTTAGCTGTGAGAGCCTGCATGTTGACCAGGAACAGACAGATGGAGGGGTCTGCTAAAGGTCAGGGGTGGGTATCACTCAGGGTCTTAGAAAGACCATGTAGAATCTTGTAGTTGTTGGAGCTGGAAAGATGGCTCAGTGGTTAAGAGCACTTAGTGCTCTTGCAGACGACCTGAGTTTGATGTCCAGCACCCACATCAGACAGCTCACAACTGCTTCTAACTCCAGCTCCAGGGGACCCTGCGCTGTCTTCTAGTCTCCACAGGCACCTGCACTCATCGGCATATATCCCAACTCAGTACACACAAGTACACTTAAGGTTTAAAAACAAACAAATAGGAGGCAGAGGCAGGAGGATCTCTGTGAGTTTGAGGCCAGCCTGGTCTACAAAGAGAGTTCCAGGACAGTCAGAGCCAAAAAGGATCATGCAGCTGCTTTTTTTATTCTTTCTCAGTCTCACTCTGTAGCTGGGGCTGGTCTCCAAACTTGCCATCCTCCTGCCTTAGCCTTCTAGGTACAGGGTCAGCAGGCATGAGCCTCCATACTTAGCCTGGTCATTCAGTTGTGATGAGCCCAACAGCAAACACTATAGGAAACTTCTAGGGCCCCTCACTATAGGACGGGGGTCTCCTAGGGCCCCTCACGGTACTAAAATACCCAAGTGAAGACTTAGAGATCTCAAATATCAGGTAGCCCGGATGGAGACACTTAGCCACTGTGGTCTTCACAGGTTTGGCTTGGATCTAGAGAGACATTTCCGAGAAGCTACAGAAAGCAGTATGATGAGGTTCCAATCCCCACTGCTCAGGGCAGAGTCAGGTACAAGGTCCAGAACTTTCAGGGTATGAATATGGACAGATAGCTATATGTTGTTAAAAATGATCCATGAGCAGGATGATTCATTTGTTGGGCACCTGCCTTGCCTCACAAGGGTGAAGATCTGATCCCCAGGACCCAGTTTTTAAAAAAGGCTGGATGTGGTAGTGTATGCTGGAGAGGCAGAGACAGGCGGGTTCTTGGAGTTCCCTGGCCAGCTAGTCTAGTTGAACTGGTGAGTCCTGGGTTCCAGCCACTGACCCTGTCTCAAATAAAACAAAAGCAAAAATAAACAAGAGGGCAGCTTCTTAAGAATGACAGCTGAGGATGCCCCCCCCTCACTTTCTTAGTTGGGGTGTCTATTGCTGTGCCAAGACACCATGACCACAGCAACTCTTATAAGGAAAACATTTAATTGGGGTGGCTCACTTTTTCAGAGATTCAGTCTATTATCATCATGGCGGGGGAGCATGACAGCATGCAGGCAGACATGGTGCTGGGGGAGTGGCTAAGAGTCCTACATCTTGCAAGCAACAGGAAGTCGACTGAGACACTGGGTAGTATCTTGAGCATAGGAAACCTCAAAGCCCGCCCCCACAGTGACTCACTTCCTCTAACAAGGCCACACCCACTCCAACAAAGCCACACCTCTTAACAGTGCCACTCCCTATGAGATTATGGGGCCCAGTTACATTCAAACCACACACACACACACACACACACACACACACACACGAAAAGGAGAAAATAGTCATGGCACTTTAAAAGGCTGGCCTTGCAGGCTTTATTCAAGGTGAGAGCAACAGTGCCCGACGAGGAGGCTCCCAATTGGATCAGGCAGTGGGGAGTGAGAGATCAAACTCACCTTTGCCGGGCTCAGTGTGGGCAGGGGTGGGGCCATCCGCCAAGGGGTGGCGGCAGGCATCTATGGACAGACATGGCCAAGATGGAACCTCACCAGCCACTGGCCACACCCACCACCAGGACGCCTGCTGGAGAAAAGGGAGGACCACAAAGGGAAGGTGGGGAGATGAGGAGAGTGGGTGTCACTCCGCTGCTCAGCAGGGAGAAGCTTCAGAAAGCCGACTCGGATTTGGTGTAGGGTCTTTGTTTGATAAACCCAGACCTTCCCCAGAAGGATTTCTCCTAAGTGAGGTGTTCGGGTCACCCGAGGTTCCTTCCGGCCTGTGAAGTCCTCAGATCATCTGTGTGACCCCAGGCAAGTCACCTAACTTCTCTGGGTCTCTACTCTGTTATCTCTGAGACAGGGAGACGCGCCTACCCACTTCATAGCAGTTCGAATGGCGGCAGTACATCCCGGAAAATCTGGAGATCACTCGAGTGGCTGCCTTATGCCTTCCTCCTCCCTCACTTTCTCTTTCTGGGTCTCTCCCCTCCCCTGCCACTTGAGAGAGACAAGCTGCAGTTTCAAGTGGTTCCAGTCCCCTGGGAGGAGGTTCAAAGAAAGGACTAGACAAGACTGCATCTCCAGTACCCAGCACTCAGCACCCAGCACCCAGCACCCAGCACCTGGGTCAGGCCAAGGAAGGCTGAGGGAAGGGCACGACCTTCTCAGCTTGAAAATCCCTTTCTTGGAGGGAAGCTGGCCAGCCAGGGCATCCTGTCTCTAAAGCCCTGCTTCCCCCTCCCCCAGGAGGAGACAGTCAGTCCTTCAGATAGTGTCAGGAAAGATGGATGGGGTGGGCTTATCTTGCTGAGAGAGACACAGCTTCTCCCTCTTCCTTCCCAGCCTGGGAATTGAGACCCGAGGCTCACAGTGGCAGCGGTGTGTGTTCCTCATGCGCACACCCTAGGAAGTTTCTTCCTGTCTACCGCAGAGGCTCACCTGGCTTCCTCTCCACTGTTCACAAAACAGGACTGTCCCGGACCTCAAAGAAGCCGAGAGTAGATTCTGGAAACTTGGATAAAGAGGGAAGCGAGAGAGAAGAGAAGAGGAGGGGAGAGATGGGGGGGGAAGAGGTGAAGGGGAGGGGGAGAGTGAAGGGGAGAAGGATAGAGAAGAGGACAAGATAAGGGGAGAGAAGAGGGGAGGGAGGAGGAAGAAGAAAAGAGAGATACAGAGAAAGGCAGAGGAGGATGGGGAAGCGGAGAAAAAGATCAGCCTCCTTCCTTGCTGGCCGGCCCCACCCCTCCACCCCTGAACGTTGACTCTAGAGCAGCGGTTCTCAACCTTCCTAAGGCTGCGACCTTTTAACACAGTTCTCGTGGCATGGTGACCCCCAACCATAAAATGTTTTCATTGCTTCTTCATAACTGTAGTTTTGCGATTGTTATGAATCGCAATGTAAATATGTGATATGCAACCCCGAAGGGGTCATGACCCCACAGGTTGAGAACTATTGTCTAGACTCTGGAACTGTATTCCAGGGCCGGGCATGCTTCCTGGCTTTGAGGCAGGAAGCGACAAGGAAGGGGAGAGACACAGTTTCAGTCTGAATCCTAAATCCAGACCCACAGGGACAAAGAGGCTGAGCAGTTCCCAACAGGACGGACACTCTTATAAAATCCTTAGGGCTTTGGAATAACTTGGTGGTAAAGTGTTAACAGTGGTGACTTCTTAGGAGGAGTTGAGGGGACCAAGAGAGGCCTGGAGCTTTATCTAGAAATTCAAATTTGATCTCTCTCTCTCTCTCTCTCTCTCTCTCTCTCTCTCTCTCTCTCTCTCTCTTTCTCTCTCTCTCTCTCTTCTCCTTTGCTTCTATCCTTTCTTTCTCTTCCTCCTCCCCCTCCCTCCATGCCCGTCTTTCTCTCTCTCATGTGTGTAACACTGGAGATAAAACTTTGAATGCCGGTGAGGATGGAGACCCAGAGATGAACTCATTCAATGTCCGTATTTGACAGGATGACACTAAGGCTCAGAGAAGGGAAGGCACTGGCTCCCCGTCACACAGCAGATCCCCTAGCCTGATACGTTCATCTGTGCTCCCAGGGGAGGGTGGCAGCAGGTGACAGGCACACACAGGAGCTGTATTCTGTCCCTCTGTTCCCATTTCAACAGGGACGTCAGGCACATTGCAGAGAGAGCCAGAGCAATCTTGTGTCTCACGCTGCCTCTGACTTAAGGCTCATAAAATGCCCTAAATGATCAGGGGTGTGAGCTAAGGTCTGCAGGCCAGGGTTGGAGGGTCACCTGATGGGTGTGGGGAGGACATCTGGAGGCAAAGAGGGAAGTGCTACCATCCACCCACACACCCACCCACCAAATACACCCCTCCACCCATCTACTCATTTCCTGTCTTTCCACACACCCATCCATCATTCATTCACCTATTTGCCCATCCACTCTAACCACTCATCCATTCATCTATCTACCATCAATCCACACATTCTCATTCACCTGTCTTCCCATCCACTCATCCATTCTATAATCCATCCGTCCATCATCCATCCATGCATCCATCCATCCATGCATCCATCCATCCATCCATCCATCCATCCATCCATCCATCCATCCTCCACTCTCTTGTCTACCCATCAGCCATCCAATCATCCATCCATCTACCCACCCATCCATCCACTTTTCCACCCAACTACACATCCAGGCACTCATCCAACCATCCATCCACTTACTCACATAACCAACCATCCATGCATCCATCCATCCACCCTCCACCCATACCCACATCCATTCCAGCTACTCATCCATTTGACCATTCATTCTCTCAACCACCTCACCCACTGGCCTAGAGGCTAGGACCTGTCTCTCTGGAATAATAAGGCCAAAGAGTCAAAACCAGTGGTTTATCCTCCACACAGGAAAGGGATTGGATATATCTCAATCTGGCTTTTCCAGGAAGCAGACCCTGAGATAATACAGTTTTGAGAGCTTTATTAGGGGGTGTTCTTGGGACCAACACACGGGGTTCAAAGGAGAGAACAAAGGAGTAGGTAGGAGGAGGGGCAGGCTGTGGCAAGTTGTCTATTTCTGTACCTGGTATAAATTTGGCATGTGTTCAGCATTTTGCAGCTTGTGAGGGTCAGGTGTCCAGACACGCCTCCTGTGATGCGCGGTCCCATGATTCAGGGTCTTGCAATCCTGAGACCTGAGTATGGATCCCACATTAAAGGACAGGCTATGGAAAGGCCCACTTCTAAAACCCCAGGGCTGTTGTGAGAATTCAGTTTCCTTCAGGCTTCAGGACTGTGGACTTCTTGTTGGCTGTTGCTGGAAGCCACGCTCAGTTTCTGGCCAGTGAGTGTCCCCAGCATGGTGATTGGCTTCATCAAAGCTAACAAGGCACCCCAGGAAAAGCTGGGTGTCCCAGTCTTATAAGACAGGTTACCCAAGCGACAGCATTATTCTCTTCTGCATTTTATGTTTTAATGCATGCACGTGTGCATGCATGTGGGGGCCAGAGCTGGCCTCAAGTTTCATTTCTCAGGCACTCTCCACCTTGGTTTTTTTGAGACAGGGTCTTTGGCTGGCCTGGAGCTCCAAATATGTTCGGCTGACTGGCTGATGAGCCAGGGGTCTGTAAGTCTTAGTCTTCCTAGTTCTGGGATCAGAAGCATGTGTTACCTGGCTTTTTTTTTTTTTTTAAACATCAGACACTTTACTGACTGAGCTGTTCTCCCAGTCCCTCTTGTACATTCTGGCAACTAGTCACAGGTCCCACCTACATTCCCGAGGAGGGGAATCTACAAGGACTGGAGAATAAAAGCCAGGGGATGATAGGATCCATCAACCACCATCTTTGAGGCTGGAATGGCCAATCTAAGCTGTTCCATGTTAGAGACAGGACCAGAGCCATCTTCACACCTCCCCATAAAACGATCATTGGATGTGAGCCACTGCGGGAGAAGACGGTGACCTTGGCAGAGGTGGCTTTCTGTTGATGAGGCCATCTCTGACAGCTTGACAGCTGAGGGCTGTGAGCTGACAGTGTTTTTAGTGGAGACTCATTTCTTCATTCCCTTTCCTAAAGGGGAAGTCCACAAGCAGCTCAGGCACGCAGCCATCACAGTGCTATGCAGCCAGCGTTAGACTCAGCAGAAGCTAGCCCTCTATGAGTGAGAGAGAGAGAGTGGAAAATAGAGACGCCTTCATGTCCACACGAATGAGTGATTCACTCACCTCCTCACCCAGATTCCAGCACCCAGATGCGACAGCCGTGTTCTCAGATTTTCAGGTGGGATTTAAACTCTTGATGCACTGAAAAGGCGGTTTGATTTGTGACAAACTCATATTATAATTTATACAATTCATGGATAAATGGTTGGGTGAATGAATAGATTCAATGTATGGATAAAGAGAAAGATGGCCAGGTGGGTGAATAGGTAGATAGATAGATAGATAGATAGATAGATAGATAGATAGATAGATAGATAGATAGATAGATAGATAGATAGATAGAAGGCTTGGTGGATGGGTGAGTGGAGAGGTGGATAGACAGACAGATAGGTGTGTGGACAGATGGTAGATAAATGAGATGGTGGATGGGTGGGTGGATTCAGTGCATGGATGGGGAGGGAAGTTTTTGCCCGCAGACACACTGCTCCCCACACTGCCATGACTTTACAAAGATGAGCTCTACACACGGCATGCAGAAACAGGAGGAAGACCGTAGTCTCTTAGGGGAGGGGAGGTGGCCCAGTGGCTTAAACCTCTGGCTTTCATCATAGACCAGCCGAAGCCTTGCCTGGCAGCTCCACACCAGGAATAGAACAACCCAGACTGCCTATCCAGAAGGCACAGTCCCCGAGGTGACCAAAGAAAGGTCACAGCTGGTTATGGGTGATCTGTAACCCCACGGAAGGATGAAGAAGAAACTTTGGGGTTCAGCTGTAAGAACTGGTTTGTTTCAGCAGTGACATGCTGCTGCCTGCCTCCCAACGAATTCCAGATTTATCTCTGCCACCAAAATGTCCAACCAGTCCTGGGGATGGCCCACCTGAAACGACTCTCTGAAATGAATCCATTCATAGTTGGGTTAGAACCAATAATTTCATTCCCTACCTCTGTGGGGGTTAGACTGCCCATGGGAAGTATGTGCTGTGGAGGCCGGGGTGCATCAAATGATGGCTGTGTTAAACAAGCCTTGGAGTGGGCTAGCCTAGTCATCTACCATTCCAGAATCTGTTCAGTCACATCAGAAGATTTTTCTAAGGCTCTGTGTGGTTTGCAAAGGCATGGGGGAGGGGGTGTTGGGTTTGAACCAAGAGATTCAGAGAGAGAGAAGAGACACGATCTGGCTTTAAACCGCTCCCAGACAGCAGGCTCTTAGCGCCTAAGCCTCGAGGGGCAAGACACTCTCCATGAGAGACATCGGAGCCAACACCTGGAAGAGATTGATTGCGAGACAGCTAATGCCTCTGCGTGATTTATGAACTAGAGCTATTGTGACCAAGGTGTGCGGGCTGTTGGGGAGGAGAGGATAAAGCTAGGGACTTACTCAGGGTTCCACCCTGGAAGGAGGGGGAGAAGCCCACAGAGGAGAGTGGGAGCTGGCTCCAAGGCCAAGTGGAGAGGGGCTGTGGGAGCCCGTTTCTAGGGATTCAGGAGCCCACGCCTCCATTCATCATGCAGATGAACGGCCTCTTGTGGGATATCACATCTGTCAGGAGGCCTCTGAGCTTGCCCCTGGCCATCCCTTTGGCCTCAGCAAATGTCTCTCCAGCTTCAGATCTGTGCCAAGGGCTTAATTCACACACGCGTTGCCGAGAGATCAAGGCTTTGGCTTGGGGCTCCAAGCACCCCACTTTCCTTTCCAAGTGCATATTGTTTTATTTTGCTTTTTGTTTGTTTTTTGTCTTCTTTTTTCAGACAAGGTCTCACTATGTAGCTCAGAATGGCTTTGAACCCAGGATACTTCCCTGCTTTAGCCTCCCAAGCTGAGGGTTACAGGCATAAGCTCCTTAATTCTTTTTCTTTTCTTTCTTTCTTTCTTTTTTTTTTTTTCTGAGACAGGGTATCTTCGTGTGTAGACTTGGCTGTCCTGGAATTTACTTTGTAGACCAGGCTGGTCTCGAACTCATGGAGATCTGCCTGCCTCCCCCTCCCGAGTGCTGGGATTACAGGCGTGTGCCGCCACCACCCAGCTGAGCTCCCCAATTCTTTTGTGGGTACTTTGATGATCCTTCCAGTCTTTTGGGCATATTGGTAACTTCTGGTGAATTTCCTTCTTGTAACTCTCTTCTGTAGATCCTGTGTGTGAAACAGGGAATAAATGAACTCGCTTTCTCACAGGCCTTCACAACAGTGAGAAGCATGACATCACAGGGGTTTTTAATCAGGTAAGTGAAAATCAAAACGACATTAAGACTCTTCCCCAGCAGAAAGAGGGTAAGAGCCAGAGGGGATGGGCAACTCCAAGGAAAGTAACTTCCAGACACAGCAGAACTGACGTGCATGTGAACTCACGGAGGACTGATGATGTACATGTGAACTCAC